TGCAAAGGGTTTCTCACAAACTCCGGGAGTTGATTATGATGAGACCTTTTCTCCAGTGGCCAAGATTAAGTCTATTAGGGTTCTGTTAGCCATAGTTGCATTTCATGACTATGAAATATGGCAAATGGATGTCAAAACCGCTTTCCTTAATGGAAAGTTGGCTGAGGATGTTTACATGAGTCAGCCAGAGGGTTTTGTCAATACAGAGTACCTTAATAAGTGTGTAAGCTTGAGAAATCCATTTATGGGTTAAAGCAAACCCTCGCAGATGGAATCTTTGCTTTGATGAGAAAGTCAAAGAATTTGGCTTTTCTAGGAGTGAAGATGAATCTTGTGTATATGTCAAGGCTAGTGGGAGTATAGTTAGCTTTTGGGTATTATATATGGATGACATACTACTCATAGGAAATGACATCCCAACTCTGCAGGAAGTTAAGTCCTGGCTTGGGAAGTGTTTCTCTATGAAGGACCTAGGAGAAGCTGCCTATATTCTAGGGATAAGGATCTTGAGAGACCGGAGTAAAAGACTAATTGGACTTAGTCAGAGTACCTACTTGGATAAGGTGCTGAAGAGATTCGGCATGCAGGACTCCAAGAAAGGAGAGTTACCCATCCAGAGTAACGCCAGATTGAGTAAACACAAAGCCCTAGTACTGAGGCTGAGATAGCAGAAATGAGTCGAATACCTTATGCTTCGGCTGTAGGATCGATCATGTATGCTATGACGTGTACTCGACCTGATGTAGCCTTGCCTGAGCATGGTTAGCAGGTATCAGGGGAACCCTGGCAAGGCACACTGGACTGCGGTAAAGAATATCCTCAAGTACCTACGGAGGACTAAGGACTGGGTCCTTACCCTCGGTGGGAGTGAAGACTTGAGATTTGTAGGGTATAGTGATGCTAGCTTTCAGACTGATAGGGATAATTTCCGCTCTCAGTCAGGCTGGGCCTTTACCTTAAATGGAGGAGCAATTTCTTGGAAGAGTTCCAAGCAAGAGACAGTGGCTGATTCAACTTGCGAATCAGAGTATATAGCAGCTAGCGAGGCAGCAAAGGAGGCGATATGGCTGAAGAACTTCATTGGAGACCTTGGAGTTGTACCAGCTATTAAAGAGCCAATGGAAATTTTTCTGTGATAGTGAAAGTGCAGTTGCCTTAGCCAAGGAACCAAGGGATCACGGAGATCCAGACACATCGACAGAAAATACCATTTCATCAGACATCGAATAGAAGAAGGACTCCTGTGGCAAAGAGGGTATCATCGGATGAGAATCCAGCAATCCCCTCACGAAGGGACTGACTCGGGTTAAGCATCTCCAGCATGCTCGGAGCATAGGGCTGAAGGATGATATTAGATTTAGTAGTTAGATAACCTTGAAATTTGTAAGTGTAATTGACATTAGATGATGAATAAAAGGTGTTTTATTTATGAGTAAAGTGTTGCTATCTCTTGTCGATCGTTTAATATATTTCTTTTGCATGTTTTGACTTCCAGAATAATTATGTTTGGTATATCATATTATTCGAACCTCCACAGTCGGTCATATGTCGGAAGTAGGTATGAATCAAGACTGTCATGATTGTTGCAAGGGTCTAAGTTGTTGGACATGGCTACAACACTCATGAGTGCTCATAAGTTCTGAGCATTGGACTCAACCCACGCTCACTGAATCACTTCATGGAATTTATCTCGAGTGATCGTGAGACGGTAATATCATATAAGTCTTCAAACCTAGAGATATGATTTGTTACTTATGAGTTGATTATGCATTGATTGTATCGAAACGCATTGGTAACTCGATGTTATAAAACGTGCTCTTGTGTATAATTCAATGAGTAGTAGAACAAACATATGAGTCGAAGTTTATCTGTTCCTTCTTGGATTAGAAGCTGATATCTGGGCCCCTCGATGATTTTGTTTTGACCTATGTACCGCCGGCCCGGTCAGAACTAAGTTGATGTGTTCAATTAAGTTCTTTGTCAAACAAATCGGAAATCGGGAAACAAACTGTTGGACAATAAGTAAGACATTGTTCCATGTATTTGTCCGGCTGATATCTAGAACAGAGGATTATATGATCACTTATCTTAAATGGCGTATCATCATCTTCTCAGTTCCGAGAGACCTTGAAAGAGCTACGATTGCTGATCGGTTCCTGAAGTCTACTTGCAGTTATAGTTATTTTACTTATCCAAGTGGGAGACTGTTGGATAAGGTGTCTAAGTCCATAACTATTTCTGGTATGTACTTGACCCGACCCGGCATGGTTCATTTGGGTTGCATGGCACCATGCAATTGGATAAACTAAAATGAGAGAAATAACACTTATGGTTTTTATTATATTATTATAAGTTCTAATATATTAATAATATTATTTAATTAGTTTAATCAAGAATTAATTAAGTGATCAAAAGATAACTAATTAAATATATGGGTAGATTATGTAAATCTTCCATATCTTATATAGTGGGCTAAGAGGCTCCATGGATTATCAAGTTGGGTTCCACCCATAGGATGCTCCATGGATGCTCCATGGAGTTAAAACCATGGATCGGAAATGAAGAGTCATGTTACATTAGGGTTTACCTATGCAACACACTATATAACAAAGGTGTTCTCCCCAAAATCGGCGACACTAAGAAACAAGAGGGCTAGAGCCGATTTTGCAAGTGTAAGGTTCTCTCAAAGTTTACTCCTTTGCATTTGATGTTGTGTGAAGCATTTGAGGCATCCCACTTGGGGTGCTAGGCTCACAAGGTTTCAAGGATCATAATCAAAACAAGGTAAGTTATTCTATCTTTCATTCAAGTTAAAAATGTCCCCCCATGTATGCTAGATAGGAATATAACCTTGGAATTCAACTTTGCATGATAATTAGACAAACATAGATCCAAGGTTATTAGGGTTGCATGTACACTTAGGAAGTGTTAGAATGCTCAAAACCCATCACATATATCCCGAATCGGTGCCGCTACCGCCTTGCGGCTGAGAGCATCGGCCACCACATTGACCTTCCCTGGGTGATAAAGGATCTCATAGTTGTAATCCTTCACCACATCCAACCAACGACGCTGCAACAATAAGGATTAATCGTAATAGCTTCGAATCAGGGGGCAGCGGAGGAGTTCGATTTTGCTACATCTAATTTTCGATTTTCTGGGTTTTCACAAAATCGCAATAGGCTCCAAAATCGTAACAACCGATCATTTCATCTTCGTGGGTTAAAGTTGTTACAATTAGATGGGTTTTCCTCAAAGCTCATGTTTTGGGTTTTTGAATTTGCTTGGTATGCATTCAAATTTTGGGGTTTCTAGAAAATCAGGGGGGGGGGGGGGGTGGGTGCGTTGGGGGAGGGGGTGTCGGTGGGTTAGAGATATGGTGGGATTTTTTATTTTTCTTAATTCTAGAAATATAGAAATAAATATCAAAATATAGAAAAGAAATAAAAGGGTATGATAGTCTTTTCAATTTTTAAAGGACCAAATCCACAAGAAAATTTGCATTTGGACTAATGGTGCAGTTGTGAAATCTTTTTGGACCTCATCCACAGTTTTTGACAAATCACAGGGACCAAATTTGTAGTTTTGTCATAAACTTATAAACAATATATATATATATATATATATATATATATATATATATTTCTAAATATTCTATAAAATGTGTTATTATAAATATTTTTTAACTACTCGCGGTAAACGAGAATCTGGTTTGAAGGGCCGCATAGGGTTGTTGGATTTCATAAATGCTATAATGCCAAAATGGTCATGCCCTCCGGTGTTTCATGTCTGGCTCCTATCTGTACATAGTGGTTGAAAAGTATTATTTAACACTTATAAAATAATAACGCTCGTAATTAGTCGTGATAAATATTAGACTAAATCTAGTGGTAATAATACTAGGTTTCGTCGAAGGAAATTATAATTGTGAAGAAGCGAAACGCTGTCCAAGTTGGAATCACCACTTTAACAAGTGAGTGCATAGTTACTTTCATCTTACACATAAATATGAAGTATTTAATATAAATTATGTGCTATGTGTGCATATTATATGTGTTCTTGATATCTATGCTGGATGAACGATTTATACATGTTTTAAATGATTTAAACTGTATATTTATTTTATATCTACGAATATGTTGGGTAGAACATGGGTAGATGAAATAGTTGATGTGTGATGAAATAAAATGATGAGAGACCTCGATGTTTACGATGATCCAGTCATCTAGGAAGTATAGATGACGACCACAGACTATTCTAGACAGTCTAGTGGAACACTAGCAGGCTCGCAACCTGTAGGTGTTTATTTGAGGAACGAGTAATCGGGTTGAATGATTTGAGGAAATTAATGAACTTAAATATTGTAGGTTGAAAACCCTATGTGCTCACCAGGCTCCCAAGCCTGACTCACTCAGTTTATTGCATTACAGGTAGTGGTAAGGGAGCACAGGAGTGATGATCTGATGAGAGATTAATGGATTATAGGCCACTAGAATAAATAGATGTTGTAAGACCTATGTTGTTTCTGTTTATGCTTTTGATATGTATTGATAATGACATTCCGAGGTTTTTAATATAATGAAAATACATTTCTTCATAAATACTTTGATAAATTCTTTATCATATTTTTGGGAACAAATTTCGCAACATATTTCTTTAAAAGTATACTCTGATTTTCAAATAAATCATAAACAAATCGGTCTTTTCTGGCCGTGAAATTGGGGATGTCACAGCGGTTCCGAAAAAATGAGAACCGGAACCGGAACCACTTAAGGCGGTTTCGGTTTCGGAACCGGCGGTTCTAAGGCAGTTCCGGTTCCGAAAACAGTTACCCGGTTTTTTTGCTCACCCCTAAGTAGATGACGATTGAAGGTCTAAAAGTGAGAGGAAACTATGTTTTAAGGACAAATACATTAAACAACAAACAATAAGGACTAAAGTAGTAATTTTAGCAAATGTTTTGTTGACAAGCTCCAGCTGCAGAGGACCGAAACCGGGATCCTAGGGCTGGGGACAATCAGTCTACATTACTTGAGTCGGTTCATACTGCTTCCCAAGGAAACCAGCAGCATATCCCCGATTCTTCTTTAACCATAGAAATCAGCCAAAACGTAGTCAGAATCAGAAGAATGAAGGAGGAGGAGAGTATCGAGTCTCGCGTGCAGCAAGCTATGCACTCTCGCGTTCAACATTTCAGAGACCTAGCCGAGTATGTCCCCCCCCTTTCCTCTTTCTTATTGCGCATGTTATGTGGGTGTCGCCCGTCTCCTAAATGCTCTGTGCCTGTCTCCCTCTCCATCACTTGTGTTTTAGCGTGTGTGATTGGGCTAATTTAGTAGAAGAAATGACGACTGCACAAGTAGCTATGAGGTCTAAATCGTGTCCTTCAAGGGGACAAATATGTTGCTTCTGTTAGCACTTAGGTCTTGCTATTTCTTTTACGCATTTCAGTAATTCAGTATTCATGTTTGCTTGCATCAAGTAGCGACTCTGTGCTTTTGTGCTGTTTCATGGCTTCATAGTTTTAATATTAAGAATATTAAAAGAAGATGTTGCAGTGCAATGGTAACAAAGTCACATGCTAGAGTTGGGTACATGTTCTTCGTCAAAATTGATATGAAATAAGTTGTCCTTCTAGGGTTATGTGGCAGATACACGTCTTCTGTTTAGAAAAACTGTATGTTTGATGAGAAACCCTTTTCAATGGTGATTGCTTTAGCCGTTGTACACTTAATCTTCCTCCCTATACTGGCATCATAATAATGGAGGTTTATCTAATGAATTTCATGATTAGTGGGAGCATGGGAGTAATTAGTGTCATACAATTAGGGGGTGTGCTAAAACCGGAAAAACCAAAGAATTGATTTTTTGGTTTAAAAAACCAATTCTTTTTGAATTAGGTGGCGTTAGGAATGGAGTAACCAAGTCTTTTGACAACAATTGAAAGCTTGTAATGTTTTCTTTTAGAAAATACACCAAAGTCTATCGAAAACAATCACTAATAAAGAGGATGAAATACTTACCTTTACAACTAGAGGGTGGAGCAATATGTCCATATAAATCTATATGAATAAATTGTAAAGGCTTCTTACGTTGTGATGTTGCTTTATTTGGAAAAACATTCATGACATGCTTCCCAACTCTATAAGATTGGCCTTCATTCTCTTTATTGACATGTATGCGGGCTCCCTTTTCTTTTCATTGTTCTTGCCCTCAAAAAGCACTACTAGCTCTTGTATCTTTCTTTGAATACAAAGCTTGCTTCAATGGTTATTTCTCTCTTTTCTTCAGTTTTTTTATCAATTAGGCTTCTAAAGTACCCATGAGTTGATCACTGGCCATAGAGTCTATCTCTTTTCTATGGCTACTATGATAGAATCAAACCCTTGTGCCAAAACGCGGGTAGCTTTCCTCTATTACCCTTGTGCAACTCAAGCTTTCACCTTTTTCTAATCAACTTATTAGGAATTCCCAAAAAGCGAGTGAAATAATCTGAATTGGAAATGGTTTCATTTGCTACCCTCTCAGACATTGCATCAATGAGAGTTGATAGATAGGCATGAGAGCATGTTGGTCCTTTTCTAACAAGTTTTATAAACAAAAGACACAGAAAAAAAAATAGGATTTTGAGTCGGATGCATGAATATTTTGAAAGATATTGAGTTTACAAAAACAAAAAGGATTGCATGTAGACATCCAGAGATCCCTTGAATGAGTTCTTGATTTTGACTTGCTTATACATAAAATTAAAAACCTAAAGGAAAATTCTGCATGTGTTACAGCCTTGAGTTTTTTTGTTTGTTATTTGTCTTGTATAAAATGATAAGTTCTGATAGCCATGAAATGTCTCTAATATATATGTTTTCCTTTTTCCTTTCTGGAGACAGCTCTTTAACTTTTGAGGGAGTTCGAAGATTATTGGAGAAAGATCTGGCTTTAGATACATATGCATTGGATAAACATAAGAAATATGTTAAACAATTGTTGGAGAAGGTACCTACCTCTTCTTATAATTTTTTGTAATATTCACTTTGGGTAGGAATAAATTATAAATATGATAACTTCTTTCCAAGTATTTTTGTGTTTGGACTTTTCCTATTTTCTTAATGTGAAATATGGTACTTCATCCATAGTGTGAAGATACATACTGTTGATTTAATATGGTATGTTAGAGATATTTTATATATGTTTTAGGGTTTCATAGTGTGATTTGCTTTTTACTGGTAGTTATTGAGTGACATAGAAGGTGAGGACAATGTTTCCAAACAAATTAAATCAGAGAAGGTTAAAAAGGAAGAGGAAGAGGAAGTGGAAGAGCAACCCAAAGAGCAAAAAGTAACAGGTGATGATGAAGATAAAATTGAAGACTCCCCTGTAATGGGCCTCTTATCAGGAAACAAATCAGCCAAATCTGAAAAACCTAAAACTCAGGACAAAATACCCACTGAAGACATGATAAAGAAGGCCATTTGGAAAAAGGCAACATACTTTCGATCTAAATCCGAGTATGTAACTTATATACCAAATTATTTCACTTTATATTTTTCTTTGGGGTTTCATTTCCAATGTGGATTGGGCTCGTTGTAGGCCCATATATACAGTGTGGGCCACTCAAGGGTTGCTGAAAGAATAACCCTTTTTGCAAATCATTAACTGACATCTGACATGATTTCTGTTAAGACTTTTTGTTTTGTTTTGGTAATTTTACAGATTCATAATAATTATTTTTTTCAGGGAACTTACTGTGGCGGGTGTACGTCGGCTTATAGAGGAAGATCTTGAACTAGAAAAATTCTCTCTTGACCCTTTTAAGAAACTAATAAGTAAACAATTAGACGAGGTTTTAAATTCTCAAAATGACACACCAAATAAATCAGATGATGCTGATTCTTCACATAGTGAAAGTGAAGAGAAAGAAGTTGAAGTAAAACCAAAAAAGAAATCGGCTCCAAAAACAAAACCTCAAAAATCTGAAGCACCCAAGAAACGTAAAAAACCTGCTCAAGAAACCGAGCAACCGAAGAAAAAAAAGATGAAAAATGCTGAAGAAACATCTGTTAAGAAGAAAAATGTAAAAGATGCTGACGAGGATTCTTCGGGTGAAAAATCCGAATCCTCTGCTGAAAAATCTGAAAAAGTCGGTATATCATTCTTTTTTCTATTATTATAAATATTTTGATTATTTTTTTACATATAAGTTAAATTGAAATCTTATAACTAACAGAAGGAAGTGGTAGCACCTGTTTATGGAAAGAAAGTGGAGCGACTCAAATCGATTATTAAAGCTTGTGGGATGATGTAATTTTATTTCCTCTTTTAGACATATTAAACAAGATAACTGCATGTTTATGGGTTTTTTCTAACTTTTTAACTTTTTTTTTTATTGACAGTGTTGCCCCTACAGTATACCGGAAAGCTAAGCAAGCTCCTGAGGAGCAACGTGAGGCGATCTTAGTAAAGGAACTGAAAGAGATTCTGTCAAAAGAAGGGTTATCTTCAAACCCTAGTGAAAAAGGTTTGTATTTAAATTAATTAAGGTTTCTAGGGCTATTTTTGATGACGAGGATGAGAATGAGGAGGGTATTCACGTCTTTTTCACGGAGATGATGCATGTTGATGAAATATTAATGAATGAGAATGATTATTTGTTTGGTTAGAAATGAAAGAAGTGAAACGGAGAAAAGAAAAGGCGAAAGAGCTGGAAGGAATTGACACAAGCAACATTGTTGTGGGTTCACGCAGAAGATCAACATTCAATTTTGTGGCCCCACCTAAACCTATAGTAGATGTCCAGAGTGATGGTGATGAATCATCAGAAGACTCTGATGATTCAGAGGACTCTGATAATGAAGATGCTGATGGTGATGATCAGGAAGAAGGTGATGACAAAGATGGCGATGATAAAAATGATGATGATGATAAAAATGATGATGGTGATGATAAAAATGATGATGATGACAAGGATGATGGTGATGGTAAAAATGATGATGAGGATAATAAGGTGGACGAGAGTAAGAGTGAAGAGGTAACAGGGAAGGATGAGATGGTTTAATATGAAATCAATCATTATGATGTTACAACATTTATAAGCGGTTGCATTGCAATAGCTTTTTTATTTTTTCTAGAATCCCCATGTTTTTTTTAGACCGGTTAACTTTTATAAGTATTTAGAAGTACTAAGACCCATGTATTATTTATTGATGTGGCTGCCTATATATTCTATACATTAAGACTAGTAATTAATTATTGCCCCCAAGGCGTAGCACAATTGTTTCTGCGGTGGTACACTTGTAAAAAATCAGTCCACCGTGTGTGTGTGTGTGCAGTGCCAGTGTGTATTGGGCTTCTTGTATAAGTCACTGGTAACTGTTAAGTGATTCCATACCTGATTTACATCTTCAATAATTGGGTTTTGTTGATGTCTGATTTGAAATCATAGAATCAAATAGCTAGATTAGTCTCAATTAAATATTATTTTGGGACATTAAAGCGATATGAGCTCCTTAGGGTCCCATCTTTAGACATTCCTGTCGGTACTAATGGCTTGTTTCAATTTTCACAATATAATACTAATTGCTCAAAGTAGGTATTATAATGTCCTAAGCTTATACATTGCTCAAACGACATACTTGGAAATTGCCATGTTAGATATATTAGTGAGCATAATTTAAAAATTGAACATACTATAATTGCCTCTAGGGCTTTTAGACATTGAAACCCTATATCTCTTTACCAATAGAGGCTTCACCTCACTACCTTACATCATCCACACACTTGAGGGGCACCGGCAAGGTGTGCCCAAGCATCCCAACATCCCCACACATAGAGAGAACAAAAAAGGAGAAAAGGCTTGAATTGCACCACTTGAGCAGCTCTAGCTCGGTGCACGAGCAACCCCCAACCTCCACAGCAGCCCACGAGCTTGCTCGGGTCTGGTATGACATATAGCCTAAGACCATAGCCAACATAATACTATTTTATTTTTTGCACTAAAATAAAGTAATATTTTTTGTATAACTGTTGAACCTATATCTTTTAATAACTTAATAGCATTCCAAAAAATACCCTTCTATTTTATTATATTTTTAAAAATTTGTCTTAAATCTTCTTTATTATAATATCCTTATAAATTATACAGAAAAAGACAAATTTAGCCGAATCATCTAAACCCTTTTCAAAAAATGACCCATATAGCAATCGAAATCGCAAATGAACCTACATGGTATACGATTTCATCATTTGGATTAGACCCGTGATTTCATCAAAACTATATAATATTTTTATTCTTCAAATATTTCAATTTTGGCATGTTGAAATCGCAAATGGCACCTTCCCAATCTGAGATTTTTTTCTCGTCAATCTCATGTATTTTCTTCTCAAGTGAGATTATATAAGTGTCTAATGCATAAGGTTATTCATTAAATACTTATACAAAGTTGTCTAAAAATGAGGATAATTTGTTTTTAAACCTTAAATATTTTAGACTCATGGACTTTGCTTACAACGAAATTGCACATCATTAAGTGCCACATGTTACTTCAGTGGCTATTTGGATAATTTCTTAATTTTTTGACTATTTTTTAAAAATAACTATTTAATCAGGTTAAATTTGTCTTTTTCTTTAAATTATATCGTTAAGCAATTAAAGTAAATTAATTGTTTTGTATATAACTAATTCAATTTAAACTTAAAATACATGAAAATGTGGTTAGTTAATATCAATTTAAAATATAACATAATATCTCAAGTACTTGGTAAAACATAAATAGATTTAGACGAAATTACGATCATTGGTTGTGTTTTTTGAACACTTATGTTTCTTGTTGCATCAGTACTTGGTAAACATCAGAAGAGTATCACACTAGACTTATTGTCTACACTCAAATAAATAATACCAACATAAGAATTGTTATATCTATTGCTTCATATACCCCTTCAAATCCTTCACATACTCGAATCAAAATGCCAACAATAGGACCGGAGTTACTCTTAAAAGTGGGTTACAGATACCCAAAACATTTTTTTTTTGTAATTTTGTAGTGCTCGATACATTTATATTTGATTTTATTTTCCCAGAACTAAGTCAAGGGTTCAAATCAAGTATGTCTAATAATTATAACAAAAAACAACAAATGCAATAAAAACTTGTTTTTTTTGTTAAGAAAATTTACTTGGGAGGATAATTTCCTTTTCATTTTGTTTATATTTGGGTAACTTTTTTTGTATACTTGAAGACAACAAACTATTTGAAAGTGTTCACATATAACCATTATAACCGACTGTAGTTGAAGTCGGTAGTTGATTTTGTTCATATCTAGACAATTTCCTTTTTTTTGTTCACATTCGATCAACCAACTTGTTAAAGTTGTTCACATAATACAATTATTTTAGAAATTTAAATCGGTAATTGGAGTCGACTGCAGTCTACACAAACATTTTGTGATGTTGAGAGCTTCTCACACAAATCAAATACTTGTATATTTATTTTCTTTTGTATGGCTTAATTATATTAGTAAAATGATTAGAGTTCATTTTTAATCTTCTTATCGAATACACATAACTGGTCGACATCATCAAGGTAAAATTTTAACATGGTCTAAGTATACTAAAGTATTTCCCCTAAATACACCTTAAAGGTCTAAGTACACTAAGATATTTCCTTTAAAACCATGAACTCACTAGACCCTATGCTTATCGAGTTAGAACTTTAAAGGTAGTTTGCCAAGGGGAAACCCTTTTATCTAGAAAAAAGAACTTGAAAGGTGCACTAACATACTTTAGATGATTGAAGGTATTCCCCCTAAATAAACCTTAAGGGTCTATAAATATACTGAAGTATTTCCCTTAAAACCACAAACTCACTAGGCCCTATGCTTATTCAGATAGAACTTTAAAGATGCACTAGCATACTTTAGATGATTGATTTATATGCTACTATGTTGGTAGCTGGTTGATTGTATTTTCTTGATATATATTAAAAGTTTCCGCATTTATATTAGTACATTAGGGGTAATAATTGGTGACAGTTTACAAAAGAATGTCATAAATGGTTTGAGGTAACAAGAGTGGATCGAATGTTCCCGCCTTCAACTACTGATTTCTGAAACAATGATATTATGTGAACAACTTTAACAAGTTGAATGGTTGAATATGAACAAAAAAAAAGAAATTTCCTAGATGTGAACAAAACCAATAGTTCATTACCCTCCTCGGTAATTATCTTTACCATATATACGACACGTAACTCTCCAGCCAGTCATAATGATTATTTGTTATTTAGGAAAAAATTACTTGATATGGCACCGTCTTTTTTTTTTTGTGTCTAGATAGCCGAATTCGGATGGTAGAATTCGACGTAGATGTATGACCAAGATTTCTTCAGATTACAATAAACAATATAATTGTACAAGGAGTATCAATGTAATCCCTTAAAACCAATGACAAATACAAAATCCATACTTGATAAATAATACTCCCTCCGTCCCAAAATTATAGTCCATCTTTCATTTTTGGTTTGTCCCAAAATAATAGTCAACTTCTAAAAATAAATAACATTTTTAGCAAAATACCCCCTCATTATTACTTAACCAACTAAGCATTTAATGGAATATTAAATGCAAAGTAAGGACAAAACTGTCATTTTATTATATAAAGTTAGTGGTAGTTAATGCTTTTCTTAATCTGTGTGTTTTTTGTCTGTGGACAATAATATTGGGACGGAGGGAGTAAATCATTGATGTACATAGTGCCCTCGATATAAACAATATTATCCAAGATACCTTTACCATCATCACATCCTTCGAACATTTCATATTATAAACCAACCAAAAACAACTCAATTCAAGACAAAGAGAGACTACAGAAATACATATACACTCTTATACATTGTCATTTTATTCTTTTAATACATAATTCCTTTATTCTAATTTAGGCGTCAGAAAATATTACCAATAACATCCTAGTAATACTCTTGACCCTCTTTATACATCCATATTAGGTTTCGAAACAAGGATACACCAGGATCAAGCCTCGTAAAGCGAACATAAAGTTCATGAGTAACATCGTCACAAATCTCATAAACCTTCACCAAAAGACGTATAGCCTAGCGGTATCAAGTACGGTCGAAAGACGCCCCTCAGCAAAAGGTTGAGGGTTAAACGCCGTTCCGGATAAAGGAGTAGATTTAAAAATAAGATTAATGGATGTGTTTTTTAGCCGTTCTTAAAAAAATCCCATATAATCATTCATTTATCGTTATGGTTTCCGTCGTTAGATACATTAACATACTACCTGGCAATTCATGTATTCGTCATAGAGAAATAAGTTTTATCTCCTTTTTCAAGATGTATTCGTATAAAGAAATAAACTTTATCTCGATTTTCGAGATGTATTCGTATCGTGTATTAGTGTTGTGTCATGTTCGTGCCTCAAATTGCCAAGTCTGCATAAATACCTCAAGATTTTGTAAAATTCACACACTTAAAATCTTCCCACTATTCTATAATTCCCTTACGTTCTTCTGTCTATCCGATTGAATATTGAGAATTTTTGTCTGTCGATTACAAAAATTTAAGCTTGTCGATTACAAGGATTGACAAAAAAACCCCAAAGATTAGACAAAAATTTTTGTTTATGTGTTTTAATATGTGTTGTTCGGGTTAAGTGCCGAATTTGTGTAAGAATCAATTGATTAATGGGTTGCATTCGCCGTTGATTTAAAGAAAATATGCAGAAATAAGGCTGGTGCCGGGAGAGATGTCAGAGGAGAAGGATGAAACGTCAATAAGGCTGGAGGGAGTCGTGCCGCACTCCTTTATTTTACCACACTGCCACATAGGCACCACATATGTTTTTACCACAAAAGTGTGGTGTGTTGCCACACCCAAAGAATGGTGCCATACTTGGGTTTATTTTTATTTTTATTTTTTTTAATGCATAAAATCTTTATTTAAAAAAAAGATAATATTTCATTAATTAAAATAAAAATATTATACATTGCATAACTTAAAAAAAACCTAAAAATTTAGAAAAGCAAATTAGATACATAAAACCTACAACGTAAAGAAAAAAAACTCACACCAAACGATTAAAAACTTGGAAAAAAAGAACTAGAAATTAAAAACGATTAGCGTAAAAGGATAAGAAACTTGGGGTTGTGGTGTTTCTAGCGGGTGTTTTTTAGTTGGTAGGCCTTTTGGAAGAAGACATTTTGAAATTTTTTGAAGAAAAGATGGTAAAAGAATAAGAAATTTGAGTGAGGATTTTGTAAAGAAAAGGTATATATATATATATATAGGGTAAGTTAAAAAAAATTAAATTACTCAACAAAAGAACCGTTGAAACGGTCAAAAAGCATAGCCAATCAAACCACAAGGTATTTTCTTGCCACTGTGCGGCCTAAACCGCACCCAGAGGGCAGTATTCGTGATCCAGGTGGCAAAACCGCGGTTGAGAACCACGCTCACTCCCTCGAGTCTAAGACGAGACGTGATAAACATGACGATTATTATTATTATTATTATTATTATTATTATTATTATTATTATTATTATTTCAAATTTGAAAAAAATAAATTAAATACTATATCTATGTGGACTCGAGAGGGTCCCTCCCATTTTTATGTGTTTGACTTGTAAATTTAATTATTAAGAATTTTTATGTGTTTGACTTGTATTTTTATATCATTAGCTATTTTTCTGATTTTATTAAAAGGTGGAAAAAAATATAGAAATTTTAGAAAGATAGATTGTAATATTTAAAAAAAAAAAAAAACCTTCCAATGAAAAATAGTCAAAATAGATTAAAGTGTAATAAGATGAAGTGTATAAAAAAACCCTATCAGAACATTTGAGGGTGAAACCAGAAAATAAAGATTAGATATTTTTATAATAGGTCATTCGTTAGTTTGATGACCCTAAAATGAATGCATTAAAAAAATTATCACATTAATGAAATAAAAAACAATAGTTGGTCAACTCTAAAAAATACTATAATAAGATTTTGTGCTCAAAAATAATATTATATTTATTGTTTTGATCATTTTATAATTGTTTTTTTACATAACTGTAAGAGGATATGTAGGAGTGTTTTCTTCACATATTCTTATTTGAACGAACTCATTATTTTAACAGAAAGTGTAGAATTTTCTAACCTAACCATTTCTTATTTCTTAAGACACCAAATAGACGTGTTGCGTTCATCACGCGTAAGAAATTTCAACAATCTCCTGAGTCCTGCCTCACCCTCATTCTGTATGTGTAGATTGTAATCAAACCAATTTGAAAATTACAGCTGTGTGAATGTACATTGATATACAGAAAATATTCACCTATTTCGTGATTGTTTGGCGATAGTTTTTGTACGTGAAGGTACGACGGCTTAGATGACGATGATACGAGAACCAGGGCCAAGGTTTCGCGGTGGTGCTGGTGGTTGATTGTATACCATGGGCTGCGGAAGTTCTAAAGTCGACGATTTACCATTGGTGAAACGTTGCAGAGCTAGAAAGGAAATGATCAAGTCTGCAATGGACTATCGGTATGATTTGTCTTCTTCACATGTAGCTTATTTTCGCTCTCTTAATGACATCGGCTATGCACTGTCTCGATTTGTTGATGAAGAGCTTGTAGTCTCCTCATCCTCTGCGTCTTCCCCTGTACTCACATTGCCATCTGATGAAGGTAGTAAGACAGACAGTTCCATTTCATATATTCATTCCATTGATCGTAACAACGACTCACATCTCCAACTATCTTCTGATTCTGAATCGGATTTACATTCCTCTTCCGGTGGTCATATTCATATCCACGATGATGATGATGATGATAGTGTTCCAGGAAACAATAGCAAATCGTCATTATCATCGTTTTATCCACCCTACAATCACAATCACAATCAAACCAATTGGAATGACGTTGATCCTTATCGAAGAAACTTAGCGCCATCACCATATCCATTTCCTAATGGTCCTTCGTATGAATCAGCTTGGGCCCCATACGGAGGGATTTTTTATTCTTACAGTGGGAATTCAAATATGTATTATATGAAAAAATCAGCCCCAGCTAGGAATACTGTTTTTCATAAGGAAGAAAGGGGGTTTCAATCAGATTATAATTCTAATGTAGATGCGAAGGGAGGTTTTTCTGGATTTACCAAACACAATCCCACCGAAGCTCCTTCACCTCCTCCTCCACCTAAAGCTTCTGATTGGGATTTTCTTAACTTGTTTGAAGGCTACGAAAATGGGTACCCGAGTTATGGATATGGGTATGGGTATAGTAGTCCAGATACAAGTGAAGTGAGAGAACGAGAGGGAATTCCTGACTTGGAAGAAGAAACAGAAAATGAGTCTCACAGTGAAGAGGTTAAGTTGGATACAACGAGGAACAAAAGAGAAGACACAACAAGGTTTGTTCCAAAAGAAAATATTCAAGTCAATTCATCTCAAAGTAGCGGGGGAAGTTCTAAGAGAGTGCCAAAGCCATCAAGAAACAGTGAAGGCACTTCAGATTCAGTACCCTCACACTCCATAGATATTGAAGTAGATACCAGTATCCGTAGTACTGTTTCAGAAAGTGTGGGGGAGAAAAAAGAGGCGAGTGTTGAGGCAGATGAAGAGGTTGAATCATCAAGATTGAGTAGTTTAAAAAGATTATCTCCTCATGGTTCTTTGGGTCTTGAAGAGGTATTCAATGAAATCAAGAATGAATTTAACATTGCTTTTGGTTATGGAAAGGAGGTTGATATGTTGCTTGAATCAGGGAAGGTTCCTTATCACCCAAAGTTTGCACTTCTTAAAGGTAAAGAAAAATTGATCTCTGTTGCCTTCAATATTTTCTCACTGTTTAATATGATTGATAAATGCTAGTATATGATTGTCACTTTGCAGTGGCTTTATCTATGATTATGTATCCTTTCTCATCCTCACTCAGTCCAAAACAATCACAACTGTCACGTTCTCAAACAACCAAATTAGCAAGATCTTATCATCTTGATGCAGTTGCATCCATTAGTCTTTCTTCTACCTTGGAGAAGCTTTATACATGGGAGAAGAAATTATACAAGCAAGTTAAGGTAATTATATCCTTAAGGCCTTCAATTTTCTTTTTAATGTTCATGCTCAAATGGTGAAATTATTCCTCATTGTAGAAATGTACTTCCATTTTTTTTATAGTAATCTCAGATTGATACTTCAGGTAATTGCACTGATTTTAGGATGAAGAACGTCTAAGGCTGAAATATGATAAAATGTCGAAGAAGCTGAAAGATTTGGATGCACGTGGAGCTGAATATACTAAAATCGATGCTGTACGCGCTTCTGTAAGAAGAACACTGACTAAACTTGATGTATGCATCAAAAGTATTGATGCTATATCTAGCAAGATACAGAAGGTGAGAGACGAAGAATTGCAGCCACAACTCAGTGAGTTGATCTATGGGTACGAAGTTCTTCTAGTTAATTACAACATCAACTAATTGTTAATTGCGGAATTGCATCAAGTAATTATCATCCATATCATATGTACAGATTCGTAAGGATGTGGAAGTTGATCGTGAAATGTCACCGGAAGCAGTTTCAGGTCGTCAGTTCAAGCAAAACCTGGAATCTAAAGGCAAACATTAGTCCCCGAAGTGATAATGCAACAATCGAGCTCATAATCGTCGTTCTCAGTTGGTGCAAACATTTTGAGGATTGGATTAACGCTCAGAAATCCTTCGTTAATTCATTAAACGCGTGGCTTCAGGAATGCATCGATCATGAATCGGAAGTAACAAATATCCCGTTTTCACCTGGTCGTATCGGAGCTCCTCCGATTTTCATGATATGCAACGATTGGTACAACGGAGTAAAACGTGTTTCAGAAGAACACGTCTCGACGGCGATACGTGTTTTTGCTTCGAATTTGAGGAAGCTGTTGGAGAGACGAGAAGACGAGTTGAATCAACGGCTCAAAACCGAGCAACTTGCGAAGGATTTCTCGGAAAAACGTCAGAATCTTCGAATCGATGCGTTGGAAAGGGGATTTTTGGAGGCGGATGATCGGAAAATGGAGTTACGATTGCTGAGAAAGAAGACGGAAGAAGCACGGAGGAGACATAAGGAAGCGGTGAAATTAGTTCATGATGCTGCTTCCAGCTGTTTAAAAGGAGGTTTGATTCCAGTTTTCAAGGCTTTACAGGACTTTAGTTGTGATGCATTAAAAGCTCATGAGCAGATCAGATTAAAATAGTTTTTAGGTATATAAAGAGGTTTTTTAGGGTAAATATGTTAATAGCTAGTTCATCTGCAAATTTATAATATTTGGTAGAAATAGAAGCCATATATATATATATATATATATATATATATATATATAATATATATATATATATATATATATATATAGCTGTCTAGATTAAGTGCTTAACCCATTAAACAATTAAATGAAAGAAAATAGCCCCTTACATATGCTGAATGAAAAAGACCATCCGGATATTTGTTTGAATTTATTCATTACTTTAGACATAGTTGTGCATGAAAAATTCTATAATCAAATTCATGTATCCTATTTAAATTGATATCCAATAATGGATATTGGTTCAGAATATGCAATAATGATGTTGAACAATGATACGCAGTTTATGACAGATTCTAATCAAGATTTCAGTTTTCACTCTTCATCGCCTGAAATCAGCTTTCTTGCATTGTCAGCAATCTCCATAACATGTTCGTCCTTGCATCCTAAAAAAAAAGGCAAAATTACCCTTAAAAAAGATTTACACATCATCAAGCAACTCAACAGTCAACAGGTTTTTACCCATCTGTAACAATGTCTTCTCAAGGTTGAAAAGGTAGTCTCTGTTGGGTCCTGAGGGTCCTTCTGCAAGGACAATTTGCCTGCAAAATCAAACATAATTGAGAAATCAAAATAAGAAACAGATGATTGAATAGCCACCTACTTTCATTTATATACATGTGTTATAGCATCCTACTTTCAGTTCTTTCCATTACAACATTAAACTTTCTATTTTTTCTTCTTAATAAGGTAATATACTTTAAAAAATTCATCAACATTGTACTTGAAAAAATCTACCCAGTTCACTTTGTATTTCAAATTTTCAATGACAATACTGTATTGGATAGATTTTTCTTTATATTAACATTGACCAAAAAATATTAATGAGCAACTGAATTAAAAAAAAAAATGTTGATTCATGTAGGAATGAAATAAAAAATATAAAAAAAGATTTAAAAGAGGATACAAACTTGGCAATCTCTTCAACTGTAGCAGGTCCCAAGTAATTTTTGTTGGCTTTGTCTGGAGATGCTATATATCTGGATAGTAAAAACAAAAAACAGCAGGGTATGATCTCATGTCATGTATAACAAAAGTAGCCTAAATGCATGTGCATTGCATTAAGGGACTTACAGCATTACCCCAGTAACAGCTGGTGATGAAGCTGATGCTTCCTGAAATGCATAAATGACATGAGAATGTAAAAACATATGAACAGGCACGCCTACAAGTAAAAGAAAAGTAAATAACTTACTGTGAAGAAATCAACGTATGCCTTCTTGTCATATTGCTTTTCCCTCACTTCAAGATACTGAACAACAACAACATGGAATTGCAGATACAAAATCAAGAACATTATCCCATAAATAAAAACAACACAACTGAAGACTAGAAACTGTTAATACTTAGCAATACCGTTAATGCCACTTCTTGATCTTCCTTCCTCGACACCTTGTAGGCAACACCCCACTATAACAAGTTGGAAACTCATCAACAAAGAAACTAAATATTTTCAAGACGATTGTGTATACTATGAAGATAATAACAACTATTAAGATGAATTTTAGATCATTGACACACAGGTCATTGTGTTAATTATAAGATTAACTACACATGTTCATAGCTTCAAGCGATTAATTGTATGTTGAAGCCTCAATAATTACTTTTACAACGCCCATCCGGAAAACGGATTTTAAGTCCAAGCATGAAAAGAGTTCAGTGAAAACAGTGGAAATGGAATTGAAGGGACTTACGCAAACCTCTCCCTGTGCAGGTTCCAAAGTAACAGTTCTTCCCGGAAACTCTGGCGTGCCTCTGTGGTCAGTACTTCCTGCCATAAATCATAATCACATTCACATCAATGAATGAAGGCAATAAGTTGAATTGAAAAAAGAAAACGTCAAAATAGAAGGAGAGTGGGACCTTGATAGAAGACGCGACGATAATCTTTGATGAAACCAACAAGGCGATCATCGTAGTGAAACCCTGCTTTCCAGATCAATGAACCGTACCCAAATACCCACATCACCATTTTCACCCGATGCCCTGCCCCTGCTAGAACAAATTTGGGGGAAAAGTGCCTTTTTGTTCTCCATATCACATGTAAACCAACTACAACGTTTCTATCAAAACATCTAACGATGGGTGAGATTTTTCTAATAATTAATGTTGTAAATTTTAATATTTTATCATAATTTAATGAATAAGTAATAAATTAATTTATTTACAAAAAAACATTAATTACTCTTAAATGATGATTTGCTCATTTTTTTCCAAGTTCATCTGTGTTATTGTTTACCTGATTCCATTAAAGTTCATTTATTTCACAATAATTTGTAAATAAGTCTCAAACTAAAATTAAATGATGATTTGACAATTTTCTTCCTTTAACATACATTTTACCAGTTTCATTGCTAACTTCGACGTTAATCATTAAATGAGTTGATGAGATGGATACGATAAATTATAGTCGAAAATCATCAAGTATTAGGTCCTATTTATAGCTGATTTGGACACCTAAAAACCCTAATTTGAACATAAAATAATATTATTTCAAATAAGGTAATTATCTAGTTTCTTAATTATCTTTATGAAGCTTCCAGAAGGCTCCAAGAGGAGCCTCAAAACCGTCCCACACACGAGGGTTCTAGAATCTATCCTCTGCTCAACTTTTGAACAATTACAGTTATAGTCCTTCCACTTTTAATTAATCCTAATTAACCCAAAATTAATTCCAAATTAATTATGATTAATTCTAAATTAATTATAACTATTTCTAATTAATATATTAGTCATATAATATATTAATAAACATTTATCTCTCTCTAAAATCAATCTAAGCAATTATAACATCCTGTTTCCTGTCGTTTCTTATTTCAGGGTTGTGAGTTGGAAGTCGATTGTGTACAGGCTCTGGGCCTTAAGGAGGCAAAGTTTAACCCTTGTGGAAGGAGGTAATGATGGTTAAGTGATTTAACCCTTGAAGTGTATTGAGCCGAATGGTAGAAATAGGAAAGTCATAGGTTGGGTTCTTGCATGAAAAATGGATTTTTGTTCGAGAAGTTTTTAGTCTAAGATATGTAGATAATATTGTGAGGCTCTTCAATACCTTTATGTGGATATAAAGATCATTGAAAATGGAGTTGGAATGAAGAAGTTATGACCGTTTAAGTTATAACTCTAGTTTGAGCCTTGTGAGCAAAAGAATGTGTTTTTGAGTGCTTTGGAGTGTTCTGGTGCATCTTGGAGAAGAAGGAGCTCATTGGAGAAGTGTTAGTTGTATTGGAGCTTGTAGATCCAGACCTTGTTCACCCTGATCTTTCTTTTGGTGGTATAAAGCTTGAATCTTGATAATCTCACGTCGTGAGATTATAGTGCTCACCTCGTGAGAACTGGGAATTAGCATTTGGCACAAAAACGAAAGTCATACGAAATTTTGTCTAGTTTTCAGATCGTTTTGAATCTCGTCAATCGAAGTTACGAGTCATGAGATATGGTCAAAATACTGACAATGGGTCAAGCTATCCAACAACATCCTTTATGTATCTTTTTCAGCTCCAGTCCTCCAAGTTTCCAACTTTTGTCGGTTTCGGTCCGTTTCTTCGAGAATGTCCACTTTTGGCTGCAAAATACAATTTAAACATTATAAGCACCAAATATCTTTGCAATTAACCAAATTATAGCTTAAAATGTATTAAAATATTACCTAGAAATGTCTATAAATATGTCACTATCAATGCATTTGATAGATCTAGCTAGTTTTGAGTATTATGAGCTTTTGGTCACTTTAGTGCATAAAGTTTAGATCTTGAAAGTTTGTGACCTTTTTATGGATAAAGTTGGAAACTTTATCCATAAACATGAAACCGTAAGTGTAACACCCGCATATTCGGGCTAGTCAATTAAGATATAATAAGCGTTAAAAATAATTTTTTATAGAAGATTATCTAGGATAAATAATATTAACCAAAGTAATAGTTAGGGTTAACAATTGTAACCTATTTGACGTAATAAAGAATAATTATTTGAATATTATATGTTTCATTATTATTATAATATAATAAAATAAGAAAAATCAGTCGAATCGTTCGTAAATCGTAAAAATAAGTGCGCCAAAACATATATATATATATATATATATATATATATATATATATATATATATATATATATATATATATATTATATTTAGGAAGTATACATCGTCCCGATCCCGAAAATATAAATTTCGTCGAAATCCGAATCCGTATGAATTAGATATGATTTTTATAAGATATAAAAGTCAACCGCGCACAACGAATGTATGACGTAAAAAGCTACGAAGAGAATGGTTAACTTTTAGCTAATGCGACCAAAATGAAAATCGTAGTACTCCTTAAAATAGGAATTTTGAGAAAAGAATGTCAAAAACGGAGTCCGTACGAGAGAGTTATTATTTTAGCAAAATCATTTAATTTTATAAAAAAATGGACAAAAATATAAATTCAAAATTAGCCGACGGAGTCTAAACGAAAGTTGTAGATCTCGTCGATAGCTACGCGTGGATATAAAGAACGTCAAAAACGGAGTTCGTATGAACGAGTTATAATTTTTAATAGCACATTTACGTATTAAAATAAAGTGTAAATCATATATACGTATACATACATATACATATGTATATATCGTTAGAAAGGTATCGACGATGTGGTCGTTATAAGACTAGTGTTGAGTACTTTCGACATTAATTTAGTACAAATATCATTAAATCTATTAAAATAGTATTATAAAGGGGTGTTTAGTCATTTATATAACTATAAGGTCATTAAGTGAAATATGGAGGGTAATTTTTGAAAATTCAATCACTATAAATAAGAGCCTCTAGCTCTCATATTTCTTGCACCATTCTCTTGATTCAAGAGTCTTTCTCTTTTTATTCCCCAAGCATTTCGGTCCCTCGTGATTCGACTTCTCTTTCTGTAGTTTTTAGTATAGTAAGGTGAGTGCTGAAGCGCTGCAAGAATC